TATAATCCATAAATTATAAGATATATAATACATATATATACAAACATATATATAAAAATCAAGTTTTGTGTCCAAACAGATGCTCAACAGGCTGAACAGTTGAGCATCTGTCAACCAAAGAAATAATCGTAAGCAATGCTAACATTAGCTTGGCAACCAATTAGTAATCAAACTGAAGTGTAATCTGATTAATCACCAAGGCAGTTGTGGGTTCATTGTAATTATTCGTGACTGCAATTAATCACAATGGGATCGGGATCAATATTAAAGTGTTGAGATGGCATTTCAAGTAAAAACTCTCATTCATTAACGAAACGAGCCCCTTGTGATCGCCCTAATAGAAACATCAAAAGCAGTCGTTCAACTACTAAAACCTAGGAGTTGAATTACCTCGACTTCGATAGACCATGACTTAATTATGGCCGACTGATCAGTGCAACCATCTTGAGATACGTACGTGATAGGAAGGAAGATACATTCAAATACACAAAGAGGACAGGAAACAAGTGAAACTACCGACACGTATTCAGGGTCGGAGGTCACGTGAACAAAACCCTAGGCAACACCAGCGGCGTATTACAACCTCAATCATCTTTTTATGAAGAGCATTTCCTCAGCAATTACCTTCTCACTGTTGCACCACAAATTATTAGCCCTCTACGGCGCGGTTTCCGATAATAGCGACGGAGTCTACCAATTCGGCAGCGGGGGGGAGGGAGGGGGGGATTTTAATTTCACGAGAGACTGAAAGGAAACAAAAGTAATCACGCAATCATCAGCATTACTGTCTGCAATTTGATCTCCCCCTCCGCCCCTCTGATCATCTGTGTTGTAGTTACTGCTGATGCGCGGCACCCAGGTTTCTCACGTGGTAGCAACGCCGCCACATCAGCCTCAGCAAACACCTGTGTGCTCAGTCATTTCAGCAAGAGGCCGGGGTTTGTTTTTTTTGTTTTTTTTTAACATCAAATTAATTGCGTGCCACATTTGGCTAGAGTAAAGCTACACAAGCCGAAGGGAACAGAGTGGATGAGGGGAAGGAACTAATGAAGAGAAAACTGAAGAGTAACTGGGAAACCACCATATGTACCATTATTTAGTACATTAAAGATAGTAGTGAAATAGCTAGCGGCTCGTGATGTTCTCCGGGTTGGAGATGTTTGACAAGTCGCAGAGTCACAACCGTGAGACTAGTGCGGTTTAATGAGCAGAAGAGGAAGCTGGTCTCAGTGAGGCAAATCATGAAGGGAGAAAAAACAAACCAATGACTGATCATCCACTAAAAGAGGAAGCTGGTCTCAGAGAGGCAAATCATGAAGGAGAAAAAAAAAAAAAAAACAAACAAACCAATGACTGATCATCCACTAATGACCGGTGCTCCTGGTGGTGCCAGGTGGAAAATAAGCATCTTTTCAGTGAATACAATATATTTTTGTTTAGCTGAAATTTTTGTGGAAATTGTTTTTTTTTTTTTTATTCTCATGATGTAGAATAAGTATACGGTTACAAAACAATGACACTAGGTAGAACTTTTATAGTAATGTTTGTCTAAGGAGACAAATAGTAAACAATTTATATTCAGTGTCTCTGATCAAAAATGAATACGGTCTGAGAGAGAGAGAGAGAGAGATAGCAAGCTAATGAAAGAGAGAGCTAGAGAGACAGGAAGAGAGAGTCTCCAGGGTGTGTGTAGGGGTGTTAACTGTGTTTACATCCTCTAAGTCTTTAGAGAAGACTGCGAGAAGAAAACAACGTCCGTAAACAAATGTCAAACGTTGGCCCCGTACGGTACACGTCAGAACATCTACGTCACAGTTGACTCCGTCACCAGGTTTCACAGAAATTCAATATCGTCTCGAACCACTCGTCGCTCTCCTCTTAATCGACAGAACCCAACACCACGACCAAAATAAATATAATTTATTTCAGTTTCACCAGGATAAAGTCTGGGTTTAGTAACGTTAATAAAAAAATAAAAAAATTAAACAGGCTTAAGCTCTTATTTTGAAATTCAATCTCATTTCAGTAGATGAACTAAAAAGTCTGACTTAAAATAATTAAAAAAAAAAATAGAAAATGAATAAAAAAAATTAGCCTTACCTGTTCTGAAAGGTGTTGAGTCCTGCAGGAACACACTGGACCCTCCACTGTCCATTCTGGTCGGAGTAAAGGACAAACTTGATGGGCGACTCCACCTGGAGCTCTTTCTCCAGGGCAAACAGGTGCTCCTTCCACGGACACCCGCCCAGGGAAAACAAGACGATCTCGCCACTGGGATCCACCTGGAACCATCAATGGGTGGGAACATTTGAATGACGCACCAATATTGATACGACGATATCTTTGTTTTGAGAAAAGGAGACACTGTTTTTCATCATCGCTCATATTTATTGATTCATACATTATTAGCTGCGGTGTTAGTATTGTGTATGTCTACGCCTGCTGCCTCCCCAATTTTTTCGCAGACGACCACACTGAGACTGGCTGGAGATTTCTTCCTATTAAAAAGGAGTTTATTTTTTCTCCCCACTTCAAATTGTGAAGGCCAACGAGACAAATGTGACTTGTGAATCAGGGCTATACAAACAAAACTGACTTCCTGTTCAACACAGAAATAGTTCTGTTTCAAGTATCCTTTGGAAATGGAAAAAGTCCATTGTTTGTTTACAACCCAAGCTCTTAGAAACACGTAGAATATAGATACATTATTATATATCATATACTGTATATAATATATATATATAAATATATATAAAGAAATATACATACATATATATACATACATACATACATAATAATACATACATTTATATACATACATATATATGGGTATATATATGTATGTATATGTATATATGTATGTATATATATGTATGTATATATGTATGTATATGTATATATATATATATATATGTATATATATATATATATATATACATATACATACATATATACATATATACACATATACAGTATATACACATATATATACATATATATACATACTGTATATGTATATGTATATATGTATGTATATATATGTATATGTATATATATATATATATAGGACCTGAGAACAGCATCACGATCCACTAAAAGGTTGAAAAAGGCAAATGAAGGTCGAACCCATACCTGGTGTCTCTGTTTAACAGCCTCCTCCACCACTGCACGAGCAGGCAGCCACGAGGACTGGTAAAAATCCAGGCGGTCCATGAACTCCTCACCAACCATTTTCATAGCTTTCTGGAATCCTTCCTGAGAGGAAAACAAACTTTGTCAAACACAGAGCAGCCATGCTGTTTCATGACGTTACAGAATTTATCATTTAACATCAGTCGAATGAACAGATAGAATATGAAAATCAAAATGACCATTTCATAAATGGTTAAGTGGAGAGAAACCCCCCGATGTTTGCGGCCGTGCGAACTCGGCCTCAGATCATGATCAACTTCCTAATTAGCACATTGTGAAAAGCGACAAAAGACAGACGGACAGAGAGCTCATTGATGTGGAGATTCTTATTACATGGGGTTTTTCCCCCAAACAAAACACACGGGAGACGGGCGCACAGAAACAATGACACTGACATTGCACACGGCCATGATTGTTTTTTTTTTTTTTTTTTTCCCCGCCCCACACTTTGCACCGAGGAGCAAACATGCTGTGAGGAGTCGCACGTCACAACGCGCGAGCAGCCCACAATCTTTGTGAACATGTTTTCCAACACAAGAACCAACAGATGCAGACACAAAAACGGTAATATTTGCGAGGAGGAGTGTGGAAAGACGAGATGAGCGTCAGAAATCCAGGGAGAAGGAGAAATATAAACAAGCGTTGCCAAAAAAGGAAACACAGGAGGCAAGGTTTTTCATTTGTCTTTATTGTTGTATTTAAACTATAGACCTTGATGAACCATCCATTGGTCACTGACACTTAGATTTTCAATTTTTATATATAAGCCTCAAACCCAAATTTACAAATTTAAATTTCCCAAAACATTTAGATTTCACCTTGAAAATGTTGGCAGTAATGGCAGTAACAACCGACGTGTACATAACCCTGTACCCACCTCAGTGTCCTGGCTCTTGCTGTTCCACCGTGGGTTCAGGTGGGAGACACGTGCACTCAGAGTGCTGGAAATAGCGTAGCGAGATTCTCCGTCGTACTGCGAGATGCCATTATCAATAGCATCCACCTCCTCCACGAAGTTCTCGTAAAGCTGCCGAAAGGGCGAAGCAGATGGGGAAACGTTATTCATTCATATGTATACACTAGACCATATGTGTCAAACTCAAGGGCCGGGGGCCAAATGCGGTCCGCCATGTCATTTTGTGTGGCCACACATTGTGTCTCATCAATTGCAGAAACATGTATATTAATACATGTTTCTGTACTACATTATGGAGTATTATATTAGTACATATAATATTATAAATATATAATATATAAATAAATAATATAAAATATAATATGTTATATATTATATAACAATAAATAATATATAAATAAATATATGATATATATATATAATATTATATAAATACATTAATACATTATGGAGTAGTCAAAGCTATACAGTCTTATAGTTACAACCCTTCCCGCCCCCGGGTAAAAAACGACTTTGACACCCCTGCACTAGACTGTACTTGAGGGCTACTACACAGGAGGCCTACATCACACTGATTGAAACCCATTTGGACAGCGGGAGGGCATTTGCTGAGGATTAAATGTGAATGGCTGGACCGCTGAAGCAAAAAATGATTGGCAAATTGTTGCAATTTGAACGGTTGGCTGGCAGAACCTCAAGACGAAATAAGTGAGGGTTAGAGAAAGTCAAACATATTTGGACCAGATGAGTCAATTTTCTTGGTACATCAGAGGGCCGGTCTTCACAGAGCTGACATTTCACATCTGGCTACAAAGTCCAACTGCACTTAAGGGTGAAAAGAAATATGAATATTTTAAGACATCATAACACACATAATCAGGCTCTTATAAACTAGCCATCCCTAAGCTTTTTCGACCGGTACCTTGGACTGGTAGTGTCACGTCACCTGTTGAAGGATCATTTACAGGAGTGTTAAGAAGCAGTACATTTTCAAATTAAAACATCTGTCAGACCAGGGGTGTCAAACATATGGCCCGTGGGCCAAAACCAGCCCGATAGGGTGTTCAGTGTGGCCTGCTTGATGAATTTTGAAAATTTAAAAAAATACACACACACTACATGTTCAGGATATTTTTTGTAAAATTATATTTTTCTTATACTCCTTTGCATGAAAACAAACTGGAAAAACACGAACTTATTGTTATTTATAGTTAATTATGTTACAAGCTAGTACAGCTAATTAGGTTGTATGCGGCCCGTGAGCCAAAATAAGTTTTAGACTATTCTGTCGTGTCGAGCAGACGTATTATTTTGAAAAATTGAATTAAATTCCTCAATAAGTAAGTTCCTCAATTTTATTTTACCCCCAGGACAATGACAATAAAAACTATTTCATTCTAAATAGAAATGACCGGATTTTTCTCAAAGTTAAATAAATGAATAATTCTTTATCTGCGGCCCGGTAATAATTCACCCACGGACCGGTACCAGGCCACGAAACAGGGGTTGGGAACACCTGTTTGTTGATGATGATGCAGCAGTTCAACAGCAGCCAGGAAAATGACTCTCCTATTGAGGTAATTTTGCAAAACAAACAATCCAAAAAAAAAAACAACACTATTCACCCGTGCCCTGTAATAAATCAACCCCAACTCCCCTGTCACCTTATCATAAAGCACTTCCAGCTGCCTTTCGTTCTCCTTCAGCTGCGTCAGCTGAGCCAGCAGCTGATGACCAAAGTGCAGGTAGACCAGTCCAGCTGAGCTGAGCTTGGTTACCCAGGGCTTCTGTGGACACAGGCTGTGGAAGCTCTCCGTAAATGTCCTGGACACAAGAAAAAAAAAAAAGTTTTGCCCCATTATTACACAGGTCTGGAAATAAAGCTCACCTTGAAAAATGACGCTGTCACTCTGTTTATATTTCATAAAGGACAAATGGTGAATTATTCCTGAAAGTCAATGACAGGGAGCTTTAGGCCAAAAGCTGAGTTACTGCAGTGGCAACTTTAACATTAGGGTCGGATATGAAACAAATGATAGAAAGCGTACTTTCTTAAAAAAAAAAAAAAAAAAAAAACGGCATTAAGATAACAGGCTAACGTAATGTTCAAAACTACATCACAGCTGCAAACAAAAGGCTACTGTATGACTACACTGTATACTTTTAAAAAAATGTGAATCATTACATTGCATATTAACAGTTTGCAAATGTTAATTAGAAGAAAAAAAACATTTGTATTTTTACAAAACATCTCGCCACATTTCTCTGGACATTCCCTCCCTCCCTCCAGCCACACTAATGCACACTCCACGCTCCATACTGTAGTGTGTGTTTGCATTGAAGCAGCCCCGCTCGCACGTGTCTGTGAGTGTGAGAGCACACCGTGAGAGACAGGTCCTCGTTCGGCCACGTGCTGCGCTGGGTGGGCCTGCTATGATCGAGTCTCTTTTAATTCAGATTTAATTAGGGATGCTCCGGCTGCGGCACGGACCAGCGAGTGATTGACTGACGTGATGGGATGGGGTTGCGGTGGGAGTGTAGGGCATAATCACAGCCATTAAAGGGACTAATTGCTTATAAAAGCTCATGCATTTCTATACTGATTATTAGAATGTGGAACCGGGGGGGGGGGGCGGGGAGGAAAATGAGAGGGAGAAAAAGAGGAAATGTAACAAGAGGCCTCCTTGAATAAATAAAGAGTACTGATCTCACTAAGGAAAAGTAAAGCTCATGAGGTTGAAACGTTGACCACTGTGGAACGGCTAATGGCTAATGGCCGAAACGTCGATTGAAAGCATATCATTGCATTGAAATTGATTTTAGCAGTAGCCCGGTGTCTTCTTATGGACAGCTTACAGGCTTTAACTAGTCTTACTCACTCAAAAAGATTTTTTGAGTGAATTCCTAAGAATCTGGTGATAGGATACGAATCAAGATAGAGTAGCAACGATACGATATTTTGCGATAAACTGCGATACTATAGGCACAACGACATATTTAGTTTTCTTTTAAAATATTAAATCACAGGGAAACTGTCAACCGTAGGTGTTTGGTTGTGAGTGATGCCTTTGGCTAAATGCAGTATTTCTCAAATAGTGGGGCGGGACCCCATGGGGGGACGGAAGTGTACCACTGCTGTAGTGCTTGAATGATAATAAGCCTCCAGTCACTAGGTGGCAGCAACTCATACAGTGGTTTGTACAGATAAAAATGTAACAGATAAGCAGATGAAAATGGAATCTTTGCAGGCGAGGACAGATTGGGTCAAAATGTTTTGCTGAACGTTACATAGGCATTATCTGTCACTTTAAATAGAAAGCAAGTTATCTTAGTGAAAGATACCAATGGCGTAACAATCTCCAATTTTATATTTTATGAAAACACTCTCTGATTTAAAAAAAAAATTAAAAAATTCAATTAATGTTAATGTCAATGTCAAGATATTTTCAAACATTTTCCACCAACCCCTCTAATTCATCACAGACCTGACAGCCACCGTGCTCCCATCTGCATACAGCGTGTGAGTGACAGTCACATTCTCCTGTGGCCTATGTCGGTGTTGCGGCCTCCTGAGCCAACAGCAGGGGGGGTTGTCAATTTAAGAAGCACTAATTATCACTAACCGCCTGCCAGGAAGAGAGCTGTGGCACATCTTTATCACCGTGGCCATAAAAGCTACTTCTGATCATCATCAGGACATAAAGCTGAAAGACCTGATTACTCATTGTGATGAGACATGCAGTAAATATAATCACCAAGTAGGATTTTTTACAGAAAAAAAACAAAACTTTTTTTTTTAATTAATCAAGGGATTGCAATGACTCGAGGACACTTGAAACACTTTCAGAGAAGCACTTGGAATTTTTAAGTCGATGCTTTGTTTTAAATTAAGTTTAACTTCTGAATCTGGTTCACGGTATGAAACACTCTGAATACAAATGCATCAATATCTGTGTATGTGAATTACTACAGACCTCAAAGGGGTTTCATTGATTAACCTTTTGTCATTTTTTTTTTCCAACAGTAAAAACATTACAAGTAAACAAAAGTGGAGTTTTAAAAACCCATAAAGACATCAATACTTACAGGAATAATCACAGGCTATACATAACTTTTAATTAGCTGAAATGTGACACTTGAAATGTGTAATGTAATTGTTCAACTTCAAACATCCGCACATTCAAATATCAATAAAACTCAAAATCATTCATTCTTAGACTGGTTTTCTGTCAGTGCCATACCTTTGATGATGGTCATAACGATGCTTCTTTGGGTCAAAATCTCCTCCCACATCTACAACAACGTCACGATTCATTCTTAGACTGGTTTTCTCAGTGCCATACCTTTGATGATGATCATAACGATGCTTCTTTGGGTCAAACTCTCCTCCCACATCTACAACAACGTCACACTCCGCCAGCTGTGCTGCATCTCTGGTCCGAATGATCTCTGCATCCTGTGTCATAAACAGAAAAACTTGTAAATTTGCAGGCATTTATTATGTCTATTTTTTTTTTTTGAAAATAAATATATCAAGGTTGGATTTTAAGGCCATAAATGTATATTGTTGCAGAAAGAAGTATCCATCCAATATCGAATATTATATAGGAATAGTTAGCAGACGAACCAATTTTCATAAAAATCTGTATCGACGCAGAAGCCCCACCTTGTGGTGAGTTTTCATATGACAGACATACATGTATTAAAACATTTTTTGTACTCAATAGCTTTTTTAATATGTTTTATTTAATATCTGTAAGCGGTAATGGTTATCATCATGGCGTCTTCGTTAATGACACTTGTTTATGACAGACTCTAAATTTCACTAAAATACTTGGAAACAACAAGGAATATAAACAAAATTAATATATATTCTGTGCTCACCTTGTACTCGGGCAACTGCCGTAGGAAGAAACAGGCTAAAACTTCGTCGCAGTGAAAAGTGCCATTGTGAGTTCCGATTTTTTTGACCGTCATATTATCTGAGCGCAGTCTCTTCGCTTCACTTGACATATATCGTGGTCCTAAACGAGTGTCGGTTACTGCGTGAAAACAACAGCACGACGCTTCTGGGCGAAGAAGTCCTGAAAAACTTCTTGCTGTGTTTATTTCTACTGAAAATGTGTTTTTAATTAACGTAGACGCTTTCGCACACAGACGCCACATACAGTCAATTAAAACGTGAGCCGCGTCGGAGGCGAACACATTAAGTGGACGGACCGGATATGGTACGTACTATTTAGGAGCCGGAGTACACAGAGGCATCTTACACACTGACCCTGGGGACGCACAAACCAAGAAAATATCGCAAAAGAACAAAAATAATACAAAACATTTAACCCTATTTTGCAATATTTCTCTTTATTAATAAAATCAAATAAAACCAAGATATTCGTACGAATATTTATATAATATGAAATTCACATCATATTGTGAGGTTTTATTGACCGAAATGCTAAATATTTACATAATAAGGTGTTTAATTAATTGTTAATTAGAGCTAAATGACAATTGGTAAATGATTAGCATAAGAAGCTGTAGTAGGAGGTGTTCAAACATTTTACCGTGTTATACTAAAGCTACTACAACGCACCAAAAAATAAATAAAATTTAAAAAACTGTTAACCACCAGACCTCAGTCCACCATTAAGGCGATTAAAATATACAAATTTTAGTCCGATTTATTTGTACATTTTGGTGCAAAATTCAAGAACAAGAAAATAGGTACTGGAATAGACCCGTCACAAGTCACAAGTTTTAAAACCATTACTTATGAAAACTGGAAAAAATAAAGTTGCTACAGTATCATATTGGAGTGTTAGCCAGCAAATGTAAGTTGGAAGACAACAAAAGTTTGTTTTATGGCCATATTAGGCCCAGGACCGGACTGGAGTGCAGTTGCCTAACTGCAGATTCCCCAACTTCCACTAGAGAACGCCCGAGTTCCACAAGGACGGGCAGGTGTTTCACATTATATGTATTTCTTAATAGTAAAAAAAATGTGACTTTTACTAAGTATTGTGTGAGCGTATTACAAAAACTTTTAACTGTCATAGACACAATCCGAATTTTCAGCTGAGACGTACACACAATGCTAGTTTATGTTATTTTGATTTTGCGTATGACATAAGTAGAAGGATGTTTATTAGGCCAATTTCCAGGAAAAACAGGACTGAGAAGCAGAATTTTTACATTTATATATGTTGTTACAGCACAATATATTAATTTACGTATTACATATTCATTGTGTTTTTCAGGCTAATTTATATTTGTTAAAGAGGCTCAAGTTTTATTAGAAAAAATAAGTTAATCTGAATAATATTTATTGTATCATTTGTTAAAGAGGCTCAAGTTTTGTTAGAAAAAAAAACAAGTTAATCTGAATAATATTTATTGTATTATTACTGACTAGTCAACTAATTTAGCGTAGTTTATTATCACTTATCTACAATCAAAGCGGACGCCCTTGCAGCCCAGTCAGTGCATTGTCCGGCTCAGAGCTTCGCAGCTGTCTTTGTATTGACATTTGTTTTGTTTTTTTTTTTGTTCTTTTGTGCTATCACTCCCATCACAGATTTGTGACGAATAACAATCAGCCTCTTTACCCCAACTGAATTAATGAACCTTAATGCAGCTAATGTGTGAGCCAGTCAAGTGGATAATTAGCATAATCCGGTTTAATTGGGCACTACTTTTCTTCTAGAATACAAATTTGAAGACAATGCCACCGTTCGTTGGATGATATGGACTCTGAACCAAGTGTTACTTGGGGGTGGAGGTTAAATAAAAACAACAAAAACAACTAACATTTTATGATGTGTGTAGCACTTGTAGTTAAAGACAAAAATGTATTTTTTATTTTGCTTTTTAAAACACAACTTTAAATAAGATCAATTTGGAGTGATACATGTGATTTCCTGGTGATTTAGGGGACAACGTTGCTGCTTATTTTCCCAAAAACTGTATGAGTCACAGTCACAGGTACACTGGTAGTAAAAAAAAAAAAGAAAAAAAAAAGCTCATTAAAATATTCATACGCCTGCCTCCTCTGTTGCTGACCAGCAAGTGAGCCTTGATCTTATTGGTTCTTCCCATACCATGAGAGGCAGATGTAGGGGGTGGTGACGATGAAACGTCACCGTTCTTGTTATTTTCACTGCTGCTTCCAGTTTTACACGGAGCATTGATGGGAAATGAACCTGCCCCAGCTTTCCTTAAAAGGGCGAGCAGAGCCGCGCTCAGCCTGAAAGTCAATTATTGGTTGTAGGGTGAGTTTACGTCACATCCCCCCAGAGTCCACTGCAGTGGCTGCTCCAAACAGTTATGTGGTCTTCACTATGTGGTTGTCAGATAGTGGACATGTTTTCACAAAGAAACAATGTTAAAGAGTATTTACGCTTGAAGCCTCTCTTAGCGTGTGCTTTTGATTATTTTACAAACATTATCACATAGTGATGCTTATGGGTGTGATGCAAAAATGAGACAAATCAAGTCAGCTATTATAAAAATATAACTTCATTAGTGTAAAAGAAATTCATAAATACATACATATTCTTTTGAATTATGTATTGGATCAGGGTGTCAAACTCATTTTCACCACATCAGCAATACAGTTCCCCTTTGGAGGGCCATTTGTAAATGGAAGATTGTATAGATCAAGGGTCCCCAACCCCTGGTCCGTGGACCAGTGCCATTCAAAGAAAATCTAGAAAATCCACCTTATCATTTACTTTTTTTTTTATTTAAAAATAATCTGGCAATATTTTAAAAATAATTTAGAGTTATGGCTGACCAGTCCTTGGAACAAAAAAGGTCGGCGACCACTGGTATAGATGTAGCTCCTCCATAACAGACTAATACATGTTTCTACAATTGATTATTATTTATTCAAGCTACAAATATTGTTCATTGCTGTGGAATAAAATAAAAAAATATATATTTCTAAGGTAAGAAACTCTGCGTCATGGACTTTACTAAATGCTTTTTAAGCTCCCGCGGGCCACACAACACCCACTTGGCGGGCCGCATTTGGCCCCCGGGCCTTGAGTTTGACACGTGTGATTTAGACTATCTTTACAGTAACAAGTAATATACTACAGTTAGAAGATACAAATCCTACAAACAGTTCAATTCAAAAAAGTCCAAAAGTATTTGTTTGGTTTCCTGATTCTGTTTAATGAAGGTTATGGTTTTCTTTTGAGCTAAAAGTTCCACATAATTTTTCCTCAATATGCGGTTATGTACATTTAATACGTCGCTCACTTTCATCCCAAGAAAAAACAAAGTTAATTCTCATTAACTTTGTTTTTCTTTCTGTCACATGACTAATGAGATGCAAAGCGACTTCCCCGCGGCCGAAAAGAGAAGAACCGCAAAACAAAACAACAGGCTCAAAAAATTTCCAACACAATTATGAACCCCTCCACTGTAACAGCTGGTGATCCTCTGCACCCAAGGGCATTTGGGAAGTGTAGTTAATCCAATGATAATCTTGAGCGTGGTTTACACATATTATCGCTTTAATTGCCACGTGTGCTCTGCAATTATACCGTCACCAATTACACGGCTGTAGTTTACTCGGCTGTCTAAGCATTTGGTTCCCACTATCAGCACATGCAGTTGAAGAGGTAAGCTAATGGATGTTCCATCCACGTAATGAATTAATTATATGTTTTAAAAGTAGCGTGTTGCAGCATGGTGGCGCTGAGACCCGCTCTACAACCTAGATGTAGCTGGGTTGATGTACGGCACCAGGTGAGAGGATGAGAAGGAGGGAGACGCCGGGGATTATTAAGTGACATTGAAAGGTATGAGCGCATTTGTGAGTTTCTGTGAGTGTGAGTCTGAGTGTGTGTTTGTGTCTCCATCCATCTATTAGAATGCAGGATGCGTCCTCCGGTGTGAGTCACCGCCCCCGCTGCCTCCCTCTCTGCTCGCCCACCTCGTACCACCAGCACCTAGCTGCAGTCACCGCCTGATATTACGCATCTGACTTCACACCCAGCCATCTGAGGATTCTGTTTCTACGGCAACATGCTCCCGACTCCTCCCGCTTTCATCCCTCACAACCCATCCTCCTCCCTCTCCCCCACCTCTTCCCGACACAGACCATGTGACTTGCAGGAAGGCTTCTCCAACCTCCTCTTTATAGTTATTAACCCAATCCTGACCGGGCTGCTGCCAGAGGCTGTCCACAGCAGGCTTCTCGCCTCTCGGAGGTTTCAAAGGGAACCCTGATGCAGCTTTGCTTTCTCAGAGAGATCAAAGGCGCGCTTGATCGAAATCTTGGATTAGCATATTTTTAAAAAAAAAAAAAAGAAAAGAAAAGAGAGAGCAAGGAAGAATCAATGTTACCACCATTAACAGAGGAATTGGTAAAGTTTGAGACACAGAAGGTAGAAATGAAGTAGAGCCTAGTTGATTCTTGGTTTTTAAGTTATCATTTCGCTAGATACAAAGTACAATTAACACCCATAGTTTGAGAACCGCAGTTGTCAGTACGGTACAAGGATAGAATATGGACACGGAACGGTGGGAAAACACTCTCGTCTCACTCTCGTCTCACAGCAAGAAGATTACTGGTTCGAGCCCAAGGTAACTGGTAACTGTTGGCCTTTTATACGCAGTTCATCCTGTGGGTCTTTTAGACTCGCCGGCCACCAATGGGTCCTAAAATTGAACAGGGGGGGAGGTGGGGGGGGCTGGGGCAGAAGCAGATAGAAGCAGATGGAGCATTAGTGTGAACTAAGGTCACCTGACTAATAAATGTAACACGTAAAAGTCTGGCATAAAGGCTAAAATCCTAAGATGCTTTTAGACTTTTCTATGTCATTCAGTGCATTGTTTCCCAAAGACTGGGTCGCGACCCTCAGGTGGGTTGCAAGAGTTTTTTTTTTTTTTGGGGGGGGTCGTCTCACATCATGTTTCCCAGGAGTTTACGAATAATGACTATTGACTTGGATCATGAAGGTTTGTGACTTTTAAAATATGGGTCCCCAGAAAAAAAGAAAGAAAAGTTTGGGGAAACACTGATTTGGTAGGGAATCTAATAATAATAATATATATAAATACGATATAATTAGGACAAGTTTGAAGGGACAAAGGGCCTCGTCTAGCCCCCGGGCCATAGTTTGCTCATGCCTGGTCCGGGCTAATTCCACCCATGCCTGAAAACTGCTGCTGTAGGCTAGATCTCAGGTTGAAGATAAATATGAAGACAGCCCCTGAAGGCTACTTCATTAAATGAATTTAGAAAGTCTTTTGATATGTTGAAATTCAAACGTGCGCTCTAAATTCCATAGGGAGGTTTTCTAGGACCAGGTGATTCAGGAGGAGAACGATCAGTCGGTGGTGAACGCCTTATTTTGTCATATTTCTGACCGATCGAACCTTCTGTAAGACAAGTCACCGTGTCGGTCTGTGAGCACGACGTCTTCCCACCGCTGCCCGTGCTACAGCAATTCAAACCAGGTCAACTGATGGAAGGCAATAAATACTCATCCTTTGTGGAGTTTTTTTAAAAGAGGAAGAGGATCCTCGACGTCCGGCAGTGACCTCACCTGAATATTGCCTGATTGGCTGAATTGTTCCCGTAGCATCCCAATGGGAATGCGTGCATGTGTGTTTGTGAATGGATCAACTTTATGAATGAAAACTCCTTCTTCCTGAACTGCAGACAGGGTGAGATCATCTCGTTGAAACGGAGACTCCACCGTCCGTCCCGTCCCGCCCCCCATCCCCACCATGTCTCCCACTAATACAGGGTGGCGTCAATGTTCATATATCCCGTCGGTGGAGAGCATAAAACAAAGGAAGCAGTGGTGTCGACCTGACTGACTGATGATGAGCTCCTCCTGACACGGATCAGGACACGCCAACATGAACCTCTGCTCTTTGCTGGGGTTGGTTTTTGAACCAGAAATGTTAAAGAAAAATACCTGGACATCTGCTGTCGGTCTTCAGTCGGCATGGCGTCGAAGCAGAGTGCCAATTATCTGGGCTCCTTTTGTCCACACTCCCTCGCAGCTGAGTGGATTTGATGATTGGCTGCCAATTCACCGATGTGTCAGTGAAAGTGACAAAGAGTAAAATAAAGGCCTTTCAATGGGGATCTATAAATAGGTCCTGGGTCTGCTCTTAACCCGCCCTACCCCCCTACCCCCCCCCACTTCCATGGGACCATGCGTTGCTTTTACGGGGGGCCACACTGTACACTGCTGCTGCTCCTCAGAGTCGTGTGTACACACAAGTACACAACATTCCTCCAAACATCCTCCACCGCCGGCTTCGGTTAATTCCCTCATACAGATTAGGAGGCACGATGCCAAACCATGCTTTATTTTCGACCACCGTTTGGAAATAATACCTTAAGAGTGATTATTGTGTGTAATAAAGGAACAGAAACCCCTCAGCAGAGAAGTCCAAACGTCCACAGTGTGAAAGCTCCACTGCAGCAGCATTAATAAATGATGACGTTAAAATGAAAATGACTCTAACGGAGACAGAGCAGATGATTTGTTGTGCACTATATTTATTCCTTCACTTGTCATTGGGTTAATATATAGAACTGCCCCTCGTGCCCTTAAGATACCACCCCGGGGGCTTTCTTTATTTGGAAATTAGAAAAAAATCAGGTGAAAATGGTTCAGTGTAAGACAACGTGTTCTAAAGCAACGGTTCCCAACCTTTTTAGGTACCGGTCAGCCGGTATTGGCCGTTACTACAGACTGGTAATACAGCACAAATCGATGAAGGATTATTGAACTTTCAAAATAAAACATCTTTTAGAGTTTTTTCTGTTAGTATCAGAGTCTGAATTTAGACATTTTCAGATTGTCTTTGAATTAAAAAAGTAAAGAGATTTGACTGCATTCTTTTTGGAATGTAAATTAGTAAAACTGAAGTACATTTTGATATGATATCAAAATATTTAAAATACTTTGAATAAACACTATGGCAAAAAGGCAAAATAGAAAAGTGTTAAAAACTCATATTAAAAATGTAGGCGTCCTGCCATGCTTAGTTGAATTATGTTTATTTAATGTATGTGTAATTCAACCCTAAAGCCTTCTGCATACATTAAATAAAAATGATTAAAAAGAAAGAATATTGTCTCCAAAGGGCTTATGGGAAGCAAAAAGTGTGGATAATTCACACAATAAAACAGTAAAAAAAAAATCAATTTTCCCAAAATGCATTTTCCATTTACTTATTGAGTCCCTGCTTTAACTTCTTTTTTTTTCTTTCTTCCCTGTGATCAGCAAAACGAATAAGAGAGAGGCTTTTAATGCCGGTTTTATCGTCCCACGTGGTTGGTCTGTGCACCAGTTTAGGTTCCATCACAGGCAGCTCGATGAGGTCATTGTTTTGGATTTAAGCCTAACATGAGCTTAATCTGAGAGATAAGGCCTGGATTTGGATTTAGCACTGAAAAACGGTCATGGCGCTTTGACCAAGTAGGCTGTGTAAACACTAGAGGCTTTGGCGACGCAGGGCGCCCAGCTGTTCGGCAGACTACTGCCTTTGTCTGCATCAGCCGAACCATTTGACTCTTGGAAGATTTTCTTATGTTTACGTTGATGTCTTAATCTCCCTGTAGAGTTAAACTGGCGTCGGTCGTGAGGAGAGTTTTCTGATGCCTGAGTGGAGTGGAGGCAGAACATGTCTTTTCCAGAGTTGCCATGACGATTTAGGTGACACGGTTTTAGTGACACTTTACTCATTTGGGTTCAGGTGTCACATACAGCCTGATCACAAGCCAAGTGGGCCGGACCAGTACAATCGTAACATTATTACCTATAAATAACCATATTTTTTATCTGTTCCTTTCCTGCAAATAAGTACAAATATATTAGAAAATATGTATATTAATTAAATATAATTTGACAAAACATCACAAACCTGAAGTGTTTGTGCATTTTTTCACCTTCAAAATTCTTCACCTTCAACCTCCTAGTGGGCCGGTTTTGGCCCGCAGGCCCTATGTTTGGCACCCCTGCTTTATACTGAACATATACTGAATGTTGTAAAATATTGATTGCTGTTTTATATATAAATATATGGACATAAAATAGCAATCGTGAATATAATGTAATTTATAATATTCACAAAGGCAACGTCTACATACAAAACTTTTTTGGAGAACTTTCGCAAGTGACTAACAGCACACTCCAATCAACTTCAAGAGGACATGTTTTTTTTACTCAAAATGTCACTGCAAGTTTAATGCAACATGCTGTGCTATGTAACTCAGTGATAATGAAGAACATCAAAAGACCCGATGCTAACGTGTATCTGTTTTCTCTTTGTTATCGAATACACTAGATAACATGTGGAGAATATAGCTGACGTTTAGGAATGTTAGTAAAAATGGCGACTATCCTAAAGATGAGGAGGAAGAATCACTTTCAACTTTATTGGTGAACACCCCGATCGTCTTATCCCAGCATCACTCTAGCATTTTAGCTAGATAGCTAGCCACTCTCGCCTTCTAGATTACAGTAATGACAACAACTAAAAAAATAAAAAAAATCTCTGTTGCATTGCACTTGTAGTTATATTGTGTGCATGTTTAGATGTCATGTTTGTATGTCTAACTATTGGCTAATAGGTTGGCGTTTCTAGTTCAAGCTAACAATTTTAAAATGTTAATTTAATTCACACAGCAGCTGCACGTGACAAATTGTCCTTTTCTGTGTTCATCTTTGATTTATTTATTTATTTATTTTTTTATAATTATCCATCTGCTACTATGGAAACTGCTTGGACTCATCCGTGTTAAAAGTTTACATATGTTAATTTTAGATGCTAATTGTATCGAGTCAACATGGGAAACAAATCCCATTCCTGCGGGGAAAGTCCTACTTCGGTCCTCATTTAGGTATGAGCCGTCCTAATCTCTGAGAAAGGTCTCAGAGAAATGGGTCAAAACTGATTGAGATGACGCTAGTAATTAGAGAGGGAGAGAAAAAAAAATATCCTTCTTTCCTTCCTCCCTCCCTTCTCTCCATCATTCCTCCAGTTGCAGTCCTGACAGATTATGTGCCACTCGCTAAACACAGAGAGTTAATAGGTTTTGAGGGGATTTTCACGGGACTGCCCCGGCAAATGCCTGCATGCCTGGGAGATGACATCATTTTGATCACCTCACATACCGACTGACCCTTTGCCTGCGCTCCTCTCCTCCCTCCACTTCACCTCCTCACCTCCATCCCCCCCCGGCGTGGCCCCCTCCCTGGGAGAATCGCCTCAGTAACTCCTAAACAGGTTTACCTGACTGCGGCCTGTCCCGAGTCTCAGTGGGCTGAGCGCGTCACGGCCTATTCTCTTCTCTGATTGGTCGGAGCTCGGAGCGACTGCCTCCCTCCCTCCATCCTCAGCATCACCCTCTGCCTTGCCTCCCACCAGTGTTTACTATAGGTGAGATGGCTGTATAAATTCCTGAGTGTGCGCAGAACGCGTCCTGTTGAGGAGAATGGCAAAGAAGGAGCAGGAGAGGGAGAAGAGGGAGGAATAAGGAACGGAGCTGAGCTGAGTGTTTACAGTCCACGGGGGGGGAACGCACACGGACGCGCGGAAACCACTGGAAACGGGGAGAGGCGGAAGAACGAAGGAGGAAGAGAGAGAGAGAGAGAGAGAGAGAAAAAAGAGCAAATATTGCCAGTTAATTTGAGAATAAAACCTCGAGCTCTGTCGGAATAAGGCTTGGCGCTGTTCAGGGATGGAATAAAGCTGTGGACACGGAGGTAGGAACCGTCGTTTTTTTTTTAAGAGGGGACAGTGAGGTGGCTGAGTGGTTTAACTCTCACACGGTCGGTCTTTTATGATGACATGATACAAGAAATGAACAACCGTCACGTTTTGATGCGGGCCGATGCTTAAGAGATGCTGCGGGAGGCAGAGGAGCATCCCTCCCCTCCTCTCCCGCCCCTCCCCGCCCC